GTGTAACTAGAAAAGCCCAGCCAGCCCCTGGCTGACTGCACTCCACGGCTGTGCTTCCGGGGCCGCCTTGCCTTCAAAGCTTCAATATATTCCAGAGAAGGGACAGTGGTGGGACTTGATCGATGTGCATTTAAGTAGGTGCTATACATGATCAAATCTGCTTAGCATATCAATACCACCTCATCTCCAAACACTTAAATGAATATGACTCCACCTTCAACCAATTGATTTATCTAAACTTGCGCCAGATACTACAATCAAATCTGGGCCAAAGAAAAGCTTTAGGCAGCATTTGTTCAGGAGACAAACTCCAACATGCAGCTCAGGCCCAGAGAAAAGGGAACTCTAACACTGCAGGGTGAAGGTTAAAAAAGAGGAGCTCTTCCTTCCTGCATCCAGGGAAGCAGTTCCCAAATGCTCACAACCAGCTGTGATCAGAGCGTCTGATTCAATAATGATGAAGGCCAGTCCTGGAAACAAGCTCATTTCTCAGCAAGCACTGAACAACCGGAAAGACCCAAGTTAAGACATGAGCTTTAGCATTCATGTAGCCACCCTTTGGAACACAGACCACCACGTTTAGCCAGAGTTAAATCAATTAAATCGAGAGGCTCTTAGGTAGCTGCTCCTAGGTGCACTCGCATTTGGCCTTCATCAGAGAGGCTGGAGAACAAGCGCATAAAATACTGCAGCATCAGCCACATGGGACGAAGGTTGGTTAGTCCCTAATGACTAACATAAAGGGATCAGCAGGTATCTTGATCCAAATTCTTCTCCCCATCTGCCAATGTTTTTCTCCTATCATGGAGAAAGGAGCAGAAATTTTCTAGCAAAAAAGTGGGAGTTGAAGGGAAGTCTTTGAAAACAGCTGTTAAGTTTGAACCAAAGATGAAATTGGGTAGGGGGAAAAAACGTCTCCTATGAAATAGAAGCTCCTATTTCCAGCCATCCCTCCCTCTCCTCTCCCTCCAGCTCTCTCTACTCACAGTGTAGACGGTGTCCTGAGGGTTCTTTCTTCTCTGCTGTAAAACAAAAGAAGACAGTTGCCTACGCGTTGCACTACCAGCATCCCCCACCACTTTGTATGTGGCTGTGCATTTGCTGTAAGGCATGGTTACAGCTCTACGGACGTGCTATACCCGTTAGGGCCCATTTTGCCTCCACCCATAAGGCTCTGTTTAGACAACTTGTTCTCTGGAAAATTAATTTAATTTTAATAACTGGTAAAACTTAGCTCTTCTCTGCTCACTCCCTACAGCTGTCACCTGCAGGCGAGCCCTACACACTGATGGAGAAGGTTTCCCCTCCCTTTTCCTTTGAAACTGTTGGGCGCTGCAGCAGAAACAGTTGTTTTGGCTGCTGCTTTACTTTGTTGGCACTTGTGTGGCAGTGTCACGTGCAGCGAGCTCTCGTGAAACACCCACTCCTGCCTTGCCTGCTCCACATCCGCCCCAAGGCTGGGTGTCACTTCCTATTCTGGGTGGCTGCGAGCTCTCAGCAAAGTGACAGGGAGGGGGCGCGAGGGGCAAAGATCAAAGGGGAGGGGGGAAGGTTTACTCTTGTCCCCACCACGCTGTCAGCTGCCTGAGTTACTACACAGATTTTTGCCGTTCCCTCTCCAGGAAGGCACTGGTGCGTAGCAAACGCGTGATGAATGCCTGCATGTCTAAACAGCGGTTAGACATGACAAAGAAGGAACCAGGTTAAAAGAAAAAAGGTGCATGTGTGGGAGGAAGTTACCTGGTGTCTCCCGCCGAGCTCAGGGTCTGCACCTCGCTTTGCCCCCAGAACGTCATACTCATCTCTGTGTCCACGAGACAGTTTCTGAAAGGAGAAAGGAAGAAGCAATGACGGACATTATGATCATGAGAAAACAGATCTTGACTTAACACAGGAAAAGAAAGGGAACCCAGTTTTGTGTCCAACTTCATAAGTATTATAACAGACCTAGGCATTATTTTACCCCTTAATACAACTGTCAAGAAAAATTTCTGTGATTAAGCCATGGAAACAAGAAGTGGTTTGTGCAGCACAAAATTGCAAGCCATTGCATCAAGAACTTTTCTTAAGTAGAAATGAGCTGATAATGAGAGCACACAAGGGGGAGGGACTCTGACTTTCACGCTTTCTCGCCCACTGGTAGGTGAAGATGCACAAACTTCTTGCGGAACAGCTTGTCTAAATTTTCATCAACTGGCCGTAGAAATTTTATGAGCAACACATTTCTGATCTAGGAAAGGTTACCTTGGAAGAGGGCAAAGGAGAAATTTCAGGTCAGAATAACACAGCTGACAGCGTGCTACTGAAAAGGTGACAGGCAACACTTCTTAAATTGAAAAAAACCGCATTAGTGTTCATGCATTACACAGTTAAACAGTAGAACTCATCACAGGATGTGGCTATGGTCAAAAGCGTGAGAGAAAAAAAAATTAAAATCAAAAGACAACCAGACATAGCAAAAATAGCTAGAGTTTGATGCTGCCATGAGTGAGCAATTTAGCTAGGAAGGACAGACAGGATCTTGACTCTGTCCTCTCTCGCTGCCTGAAAAGCCATCTGATGTTGGCTACGATCAGGGCCCAGCGGACCGGTCGAGGTATGCCTCTAGTACAATCTGGTACAACAGGTCTCGCGCTGCAGGACAACAGGAAAGCTCTGGGACGGAGACAGCCGGACTGCGATGACTCGCTCCACGCGCTTGATGATACAAGAGCTACAGTCGCCCAAAGTCAGCAACGCAGCATTCCTGGGTGTTTGCCCTTTCTCCAGCCCACATCAAATAACACCAGTGACGCAGCTGGCGGCGTGCCTCTGAGTCGCCGCAGGAACGGCAGTCGGTGAGAGCTGCAAGCCAATTGCAGAGGGCTGAGCACGAAGCAGGGGTGCACACATCATATGTAACAGTCCAGTGGCTGCACACACACACACAGAGCTCTTGCAGGCACGTTACATGGTACAGCACACTGAGCACTGCCTCTGAAATGGTCTGGGTTCCTGGTATACTCTGCTCGGGCACTCAAATCAGGAACCTACAGCCCATATGCCTATCTAGCATCCAGCCAGGCAAGTGACAATAGAAGCTGCCCTTGTCAGATTTTACTTTTCCTCTGTTCTTGCACACTTGGGTATATTGCTTTCCTTAGCTGGGTCATCAAGTTTTGCTGATCCACAGGCAATTCACTATTCATAAATGCCCCAAGAGGTCTGTCTAGGTAGAAGATTTGAAAACAAACAAACAAACAAAAACCAGTAGTTACTTACATTATACACATCATCCTGGCCTGGTTGCAGCTGTGGTTCAGAGGCCTGGCTAAGCTGGAAGAGAGACCATAGCATGAGCAGAGAGACAGCAGCTCTGTTCAGTTCTTTCTTTCCCTCGCTCCTAGAAGTGACTCTCATCAGAAACAGGGCATCCCATAAGCAGCCACCTGTGGCACCAATGGGGATACAGGCAATGCAAGCCACTGCTGCGCTGGCACTTTTATCCACATGATAGGTTGCTTTCAGCAGTCAGGCCATTTTACTTGCATGTAACACCAGTTCACTGCTACTCAAAGTATCTGTATTTCCCCCCCCCCACATTGCTTTTGTGTTCCTATTCTGTGCATATCATAATCCTGTGCTATTGAAAGTAGATCCATCAGGCTATAAAATTTCCAGCTGCAGCTCTGCCCCTGCAGGGAGCCTCGGCAGGAGAAACCACAGGAGTTTCTGCGCCCGCAGCAGCACGCTTGAGACACACTCTGGGTGGGGGAGGAAGCGCTGCTGGCGAGCGCACCGCGGCTGTGGCAGCTCCCGTGCCGGGTTCACTCTCCTCCTTGGATGCTTTGCCAAGTTCTCCTTAACTATGGCACTCGCTTCACACCGGGCAAGGTGCACAGCTCCTGCTGGCACGCACAGGGCACACGCTGTGTGCCCCAGTGGCTCGTCCCTCTAGCAGCCTCAACAAGAATTCCAGTCCCAAAGCAGCATTTTCATCTGCAGTTGGGATTTACACTAGCAACATAAAAAAGGTTTCTCCTTCACCATTACCGAGTTCTGCTCATTTCCTCTAAACATCCCTCCCTCCCTCTGGGTTCAGCACTGGCTTTGCGGTCCTGAGAAATGTTCCCACCAAAAAGCCAGTGAGGCACCAGCAGAAGCACAACATCACCCTGTCAGGGCTCCTGCTGGTGATCTCAGCCACGACCTGGTGAGAAGCAAGCCGAGATCCCAAGTGCAGCAAACCTTTGCTTCTGGGGACAGGGTGAGCCAGACGTGCAGACAGAGGCTCAGACACCTGGGCTGAAAGCACCATTGCACTGGAGTGTCCTGTGCCGGGGAGAGGTAGACAGCACCTCGCCTGTGATTAGCAGAGCTCTCAGAGCATGTACATGTCTGGAAACGTACATGACTCCATCACATCGTCTTCGACAGAAGCACATTAAAGCACTAAGTGTCTCCCTAGATGCTGAACAGCTGCTGGATGGTAGCAACATCCCGTCCCCCTGACTCCTCTCTGGTGTTTGTTGGGGTTATATCATTTGCATCATCACACTCATACTATCAAAGATGTCTGACTTCTTGAGACATTTTAATACATCCTTCACAAGCTTGGAATTTATCCTGGATTTTCTGTATATTCCCTCCTCTCCTTCCAATAACAAAGCAGCAGAAGAAACCACATAATTGTTGATCAGGCATTTCCCAGCTACAATAGCCAGAATTTCTGACTGCACCCATAACTGTAGCATCTTAATCCTCTCATGTACCGTCTTCTCCTCCATTCATGAGCTGTCAGAAAGTATCCCCCAGATTGCTTAGGTTGGCACCAGAAAAGGAGGAAAGTAAAAACACAAAAAAGAGAAAATAAAAAAATAAAACAGTCTTATTCTAAGAGACGTGCTTCCTCTCCACTCCCACTTTCCAGCTAAGCCCACCTTGTTTACAGCACCAAAGCCAAATGCATCAGTGTTTGGATAAACTGACCTTCGCTTTCACAAAAAGGGCTGTCATGATGACTGCATAAATGAAGAGGAATCCATCCAGTAAATAGCAGAGTCTTGGGTCTGTCAGTCCAAGAATTGGTACAGCATCTGTATGGAAACATCAGATACATCAACAAACAAGGCCATTTATATTACTTGATGGCATAAATGTGCCAGTGCTGTGTGATGCTTCATGAAAATATAGCCAGGATGAGGGCAAGTCTGTCCATTTGCAAAGGAGATGGAAATCTGACTAAGAATCATAGGATTAATTAGGTCAGAAGGGACAGCTGCAGGTCCAACCTCTCTCTTAACAGGGGTAGTTAGACCAAGCTGTCCAGGACCTCAGCCAGCTGAGTTAGAGTGTCTCCAAGGATGGAAATGTTTGCAACCTCCCTTGACCAACACAGGACATTTTACCCCCAGTTTCCCACCCACAGAGTCCAGGCTCTGCTCCCTGCAGCTCACATGCAGAGGTCAGGAAGCGAGCACAGGCTCTGCATGGAGATAAGCAAGGACCGCTAACACTGCAGTTACTGCAAGAAAACCTCACACAGAACATTTGTTTTCTGGGAAAACCCAGCAGCATCTCCTGCCGGGATTCATTAGGGGGCCTGGTTACAGATTCCTTCGTCAACTAAAACTTGTGTGTGTGAGAAATACATCCATTTGGACAAAATTTTAGGGAAGGGTTTCTCAGGACAAAATTTTTTGTTAAATGTAAAGAAAGATTGACACCATCGTAGTTGACTGGAGATCCAGGCTGAAATCGCTAGTCTATCCAGAAGAGGAATTTGAAGATGCATCTCCCGTATCCCAGGTTACCTATTGTAACTGTAAAAGCTGCGGTGTCTTCTCTGTGAGGATTCTCTTGGCCTCCCAGTTTGTGGATGTTGGAGACCATTAATCATGAGAAGGAAATTAGGGGCAGGAGAGACGGACTTTTAACCCCAGATGTCAGGACACATGCATGAGATACCCGTGAGACACCCTGATATGCTTTTGGTCTGAGAGGAAAGTGTTAAACCTGAATTCCCTGCACAAAGCTCAACTGGCTGCTTCTCATTGGATGGATTGCCTCCACAAGATTTTTATTTTATATTTGTTTTTAAAAGAAGTGTGAAAACTTTTATGAGGGAGAAAAATCTACTACTACCCTAACTGAGAGCTCAGTAAAATCGTTACTCTGAAGATGTTGATGTTCATTTCCTAGTCAACACTGCATATGTTTATACCCTGCCCGCATCAATCAGGGCACAGTAATATTGTTGGTTTTCAGCAGCTAAAACTGATGAAACTGCCCCTGTATCAGTTCGTAAACACGTAATAAGTTCACATATGTAGCTAAAAAAAATCAAAGCAATTCAAGTCAAGAAGCCTAAGTAACTATAGACCCAATATGCAGCTTCAGGTCTGCCCCCAAAGGAAGAGCTGTATTGCAGTTATTTAAAAAAAAAAACCCACCCCACTTAAAAATGAATCTGAGATGTGCTTTGCACAAAGAATTGGAGGGACTTCAAAAGAGAAAGACAAGAATGATCAAGAGCCTGTGAAGCCCTTCAGTGAAGATAAATTGAAAAGAATTGATATGATTCATCGCCTTCCTAAGGTGAACAAAGTATGGCAATTCTTATTATGGCAATTCTTATTAAACCACATGTGATGAAGGGTAGTCGAACCACTCAGTGCAGCGCTTCAAGGTGCTGGAGTTACTCCAGTGCTGAGAGCAGGATCATTCTGCGCACCGGGGCTTCTTCCCGGCCCATCGGTCCACACTGATGATTTCATTAGAAGAAACTTGCAGATGACATTCAGGCAGTATGCACTCACCACCGTGAGGAAGCCTCCTTTGCAGAAATAATGGTGATGGCCTGTCGCACTGCTCGAGTGTGCAATTTGTATAAAGCATGACTGAAAAGCCGTGCCTGGATATTTGGTAATGTAATTGTAAATTCTCAAGCAGATGATGATACAATCACTGTTCCCACTGACAGCCTAACACAGTCAGAAAAAACTATTACCAAACAGTAGATTTGTTTGCTTGTCTGAACTAGGAGTTCGCATTCATTTTTTAAAAAATCATGTTTTAAGAAACAAATCCATGGAAATAAATTAAGATCCTAGATGGTTTTTCTTCTTCCCTTCCTATTTCTATTACTTTAAAAATAGGTTCAAAGCACTTCATAAACAACCTTCACCACATTTTTTCAGGATTATAAAACCTCATATACATGGGGTAAATGGAGACAGAGAGATTAAGTTATGTGCCTGACATTGTATATTAAATCAACAAACAAGCTGCGATTAGCTTCCTAGAGTTTTTCTTCTAAAGAGTCACAGGACAATATTTTACGCCAGAGTTAGTTTGACATAAAACCAGCTTGAATCACATTAGACTTGGTAGATAAAGTGCAGCATCAGGGACTACAGCTGTACAGCATCCAGAGGCAATTTGTTCTAGCAGTAATTCAGGTGCTTTTGCACAGTGCCGCAGTCTGCCCCAGAGTACCCTGGCCTTGAGCTGGATGTGTCCAGAAGCAGCTCAAGGTTTTCCAGCACTGTGCCCAGATCAGCAATACAACGTAAGGCGGGTGAGCAGCCCAGCACAGAGCCAAGCAGAGCCGGGAAGCCTGGGGGTATCTGAGATGCTGCTGAAGAAGGTTTTGGGGATCCTGGCCCCGACTCCCTTCTTCCTGTACCAAAGCAGAGCATGTTCACGCTGACCTCTCAAGTCTGGCATTTCTCCAGCACTAATAGACTCCTCAGGCCAGGAGGACCCTGAACAGGAGACATAGAGGACTATGGAGGAGAAGTCAAGAGTGCAAGGGACTTAGCTGTAGCACCATGTCAGCTGTGGTGAAGTGCCTACGCCGTGCTTATCTGGGACAGCCTGGCCCCCAGCACCCCAGGTAATGGATTAAAGCTGTTTAATGAGGGAAATCCTGCTACACATAGTCTGGCTGTGATGGTTCCTGGAAAAATATGTATTGAGACAATGATACAGTCCAACATTTAGAAAGAAACCAAGAAAATGAATTTTCCTTCCTTAATATGTTTGATTTCTGTATTCTTTTTTTTTTTTTTTTTGCCTACATTTCTGACTTTACTGGTGGTAAGCCTTGTTTTTCCAGTCCTGTGCTGCAAAGACTAGTTATCTAATGAAATCAACTTCATATCCTGAAGCAGTCTCTGCATTTTTCCTTAAAAAAAAAAAAAAAGGTACAAAGCACTTTCTAAATAATAACCCTTGCAACAGCTTTCCGGATTAGAAAGCGAGAGAAAGAAAAAGACTAAAGATACAAAGCCTATTGAAACAAAGGTCAAAGAGATAGGAAGCATAATGAACAAGTAGCAGTTAAAACAGTTAGCCTCCCTTCATGTGAACAGGATCAGTTTAGGTTTTTAAATCTCTAGAGAAGGGGTTACTGCCTCTTCAATATTTGCACAACACGCACAAACAGAAGGCCAGTCCCTTAGGCACTACCAAAATGTACCCTCTGCCCCTCGTCAGCCCTGAGCCGTGGTCTGGGGTGCTGAGGCCGAGGTCGCAGCGCTGCAGTGGATGGGCTGATGATGGGAGCTGGGCAGAGCCAAGCCTGCCAGGCTGGAGGGAGCAGTCTCACTCAGCTGCCTCACGCAGAGCAAAATGCAAATAATAAACATTTCACTGACAATTCCCACTCTGTTAACCTTGCAGATTACCCAGTGCGTAGTGTGAGTTGCACAGCATCTTTTCAATATTTATATACCGGCGTTTTACCAGCCTGAATTTCAGCAGTCCAGTAAAATACAGCAGGGTTTTAAAACAAGATGTCTAAGTACAGGCATGTGGCACGGCTAACGTCAAGTCACAGGCCAGCGGGGAACACAGTCACATTGTGTTGTAAATGATGTCAAGCTTGCTGCTTAAACATGGCTCAGACAAATAGCATCTCTCTCTCCAGTCATCACAAAGGAGTTGAGTCACAAGCTGACATCTAGATACACAAATACGCAAGGGACTAAGGGTGAGGTCAATGTGGTGCTCTTGCTCAGTAGGGAAGCAAGCTCTGAAGGAATAGCAATTAGAAAGTTTACGCTTACTCTTGCTCACCACGTGCTCCTATGCAACACAGTTAGATCTCCCATTGCACAGTGAAGGTGACATTTACTCATAGACCACCGGATGTTAAGGAAAACCAGAAACAAACTATGCAACTTACAACACTAGGTAAATTTTTTTTTAGGAGTTTGTACTGGAGAAGCTATGGAAAGCTGACAAGAGGAGTGGCAGGGCCATGGCAGATGAGGCAGCAGGAAAAGACATGGGGTCAGTAAATGGGGCACTGCTGCATTTTGTGACAAGGTTTCCAGCCCTTCTCAATCCCAAACCTCAGGTGCCGGCCACCATGTTTGGGACTTTTTCCCAAGCTGCGCTTCTGCCGTGAGAAGTTTCTTCCCAGCACCTCCTCCTTCCAAAGCCTGGGCTTTTGTTCCCCTCTTCTCCTCTCCTCCCACCCAGAGATGCAGCCCTGCCCTCCTCTATGCCCAGTCACTCTCGTGCCGCTGCAGGTCGGTGGACACGCACACCCGGACTACGGGCTCGCACGCCTCCCTCACCCTGATCCATCCTCACGCCCCCGGAGCAGCACTGCCACTGCTGCCACAACAAACCCCCGCGGCCTT